TTGGGAGATCTCTCATGCATCAGAAGAACTCGATTATAGCATATTCATTCATTTAGTATTATGTAACTTTTAACGATCTTAATGCAAAAGTATCGATTTTAATGTAACTAAATTCATGATGACTGTTAATTTTTGTTTTTTAAGTATTTACTAAAAATAAAAAATAATGTCTTATATTGCAGTTTCAAGGAACGCGGAGCGTGCTATGCTTTGATGATGTTGTCTGACGAGCACAAGCGAAACGGTGTGATATCTGCATCTTTGGGTAACCACGCACAGGCTCTATGTTACCATGGTAAGCGTCTCGGCGTTCCGGTGACAGTGGTTATGCCCACAGTAGCTCCAATCATAAAAATTGAGGCTTGCAGGAATTTCGGCGCAACCGTCATAATTCAGGGTATCAACATGAAGGAGTCTAAGCACATCGCTCTTAAGCTGTCCAAAGAGAAGGGAATCATTTACATCAATGGGTCTGAATTTAATTTGATTATACACGTTAGACATTTATATTGATAATATATCATAATAAATTATATCATGTCAGATTTTACAAAAATATTATWTTATTATTCGATTCTTCATTTAAATAGGATATTTACCCCAAATAATACAGCACTTATTACATATTTCTTCATATTTGTCTTTCCAATGATTTCCATTTTTTCCTTAACTGGATTTACCATTTGAGTACAAATGTCTGAGATTACTTAATACTTACTTTTTACAGTTGTCGATAAATATTAACATAGTAAATAACATATAAATCAAATAACTAATGTGTTAAAATTTAAACGATTGCCCCATACAGGTACGATCATCCTCACATAATGGCTGGTCAGGGTACAGTTGGACTCGAGATATTAGAAGACGTTCCAGACGCCGATGCGATTGTCGTTCCTGTCGGTGGTGGTGGTCTGCTGGCTGGTGTATCACTGGCCGTAAAAACACTGAGAAAAAACTGCAAAATTATTGTGAGTGTATTATGATTTTCATAGCAAGCGAAATAATGTCTGAAACACAAAATAATATTAAGTATTCAAACGGTTTAATGCATCTTGTACATATTGTATTTTTCATAAAGTTTCATATTAATATAATAGTATCTTGATTCTTGACGAACATAATTTTTTCAATTAATTGTTTGACATTGCGATTTTTTTGATTTTCTCTGCAACATTGAAACATGTTAATGTTTTATTTATTTTTAAATGCGTTTCAATAATACTCAAATATAATAACACGGCGCTTTTTATAGGCAATTTAGCTACATCACTACAACCATATTATTATGCCCTGCGTCTATTTTAACGAGAATAAAATATTTTATGGAAATCTATACATAATATTATTATGATGGTATCTAGGCCACTAGTTATGAAGTATATTATTTTAAATAACAAGGAAATGTACATTACTATGTAACGTTTATTTTAAGGTTAATCTGTAAATTTTATATTCAATAAGAATTCGTTTGGTTTATTTTTGAACAGTACTCGTAGATGTATGAGTG